ATGGCCGGTTCTCTTACATATTCTGTCTTCCAGATCTTACTTACTACAAACACGGGAGGGGATGACAGGATTTGTTCATGTAACACGTTATGTTCTTAATGAAAAAGAAAGGCTGTCCACTGAATCCACTTTTAATTATTATTTTTAAAAGACGCGAGTGCCAGGGACTTCGGGCGGTAGTGTTTCATCTTTAACTCATTGTCAACCTGTCTGAAATATACTGTCATAGTTATGAGAGAACAAAATCAAACTAATTTTTCTTGATTTACTGTTTATCTTCCCAACACCATGCTTCTCCTCATTCCAAATAATCAGCTTGTCATATGGCAATGCCTTATATTTAAATATATTTTGTAATTTACATTGTTACATTTCCTACTCAAAACTTAACAATTGCTTGGACACGCCTCCTTGAAACAGAAATGGTAACAGCCCACTTTTAAAGGCTACACTTCCGCAAACACTCGGCCTTCGTACCCTACTAGCGGGAGCAAAGGTGTACCGCCAATAGTGTTTCTCACACCGAAGGTGCGGTGTGAATGCTCATCAGCACGTGGGAAGGTAGCCTGCAGGCCTGGCTCTGCCACTAGAGAGAAATGCGGCAGCTTGAGCAAATCACGGAGACTCTCTGGGTGTCTCTTTGGCTATAAACGGAAATCCTAAAGTGTCCATATAAAGATAAACAAGAAGGTTTGTGATAATGAATTTCAAATGCCTAGCAGGGACAGGCATTAATAGAGTCAATAAAAAAGTTTTTCTGCATGTATCCCAGAGCTAGATCTGAGGTCTCCGATGGAAAAAAAAACAACAAACATAATTTGTCTCCAGTTAGCTGAAAGTGGATCCACACAAAGGACTGTATTCCAGGTCAACAAGCCATTCATCCGGTCCAGACTGGAGAGCCACTCTCAAACCTCGCCCACCGACACACAGGGCTGAAGGGGCGCCTTCCCTAGAGGCGTCATTCCAGGCGGTGGGTTCCCCTACAGCCTTCCTAAGCCAGCAGGCTTTTTCCTCTGTGTCTACTTCATTACTCTCAAATTATAGAGTACAAAATCTCTGTTACTTAATGTCCGACATTCCCTACAGGAAGGGGTTATGCTGAGCACCCACTGCGATGCTGTGTGGTAGGAGACAGCCACCACAGAACCAAGAGCGATCAAGGAACAGCTAGCTATCCTTAAAGCGGGACAGCCCACTACACAGTAAGAGGAAAAAGTCAGACAAAGATTTTAAAACCTATACCCAACACTTCATGAACAGCCCAGGAAATCACAGCATTTGGCAAAAAAACACCTTCCCAAGTTTGAACAAAGTGCTAGTCTTGTGAGTGTGTCCTAACGCACTGCCATGCAAGAAAATGTTTCCTTCCCTTACGTGTCTATTTTTTATATCATTTCTATTTTATCTACTGGACATTACATTTCTTTCTGTACACTGTAAAAATTATCTTTTTGAGATTAAAAAAGCCAGCAATTTAGCATGTATGCTAATTGGTTATTGTCAAGGATTTTAGAAAAATGAAAATGAAAGAAAAAATTCTCATTAACTTGGGCCTAGTAATCTGCTATAATTTATAATGTGCTAAGCTTATCTTTGTAGTATTTTCTTTTAATAGAAAATTAGTAATTCAAATGAAATAAGAAACAGTATGTTCAAAGAATTCTAAAATCTTTCCAGTTTTACTGATGAAGTCCTTGGTGTCAGTCATAAATTCTACAAACTGGTCTCACTGTTCTTCTAAACATGCATAGTATTCTCTTACCCCCTCTTTGCCCACACTAGTCTACCTCTATAATGCCCCTCCACCCGACACTGACCTTTGAAAACCCTTTCTTCTAAAACCCAGCTCACACCGTGTCTCCCATCACTGGTGGCCGCATACAAAACAGGTATAAACAGCGCACTGATACTCGATGAAATGTCATAAGGGAGTACAGCCCACAGAACACTATCTCCCTCAGTGTCGGCTTCTGGAATCGAGTGAGTAGCACTGGAATCTCGAATCTGAGTTAGAGTACGTAAGAGAACAGAGACAAGGACTGGTGCCAAACCTGTGTGTTTTGCAAAGGATTACCCTGGATCCATGTGTCGGTACACCTAGGCATAAAACACACACTCTCGGGAGAGAGACTGTTGCCCTGCGATCCAGAAGTGCTTTTAAAAAACAAAGCAAAAACAAAATTTAAACAGGCCAGCAAAATAGGCAAACTATCGTCCCAGATAAAAAGCTCAGGTCCCTCTTTATTTCTGGGAAACAAAATCAAGAATTTAGTACCTATAACAGCATTTAAAGTGGTCTGGGCTGATGAGTCACTTGTCTTATTTAGGAAGGGTTGGAACTGTTATTCCCAGAAGAAGGAAACACCGATTATCTTAATTCTAAGTCCAGAACTATTCAAGCAGCTCTGGGAATGTTAGTAAAACGGTCAACTAACCAAACAGAATCATCGTTCAGTAGCTCTAGTGGGACGTATTTGAAGGAACAGAAGGTCACGTCTAATGCTATAACCCAACACTCTGAGCTACTAAAAAGAAACTCAAAACCCTGTGCTGGATACAAAAAACACCGCTTAAATTTCAGATAAGGGCCACCAAGGAGGAGGTCAGAAGACTCATTAATACAGCTGAACGAGAAACAGTGACAGCTCAAACAGCCCGTGAGATTCATGATCACAGATGTACAACAGTGATCTCTGAACACAGACAAAAAAGGAAACCAGGGCTTCAATGCGAGAAGAGCCCGAGTCAGGATTACATGGAGGGCCAACGGTGAGAAAGAGAGGCAGACAGTATTTCTAGCCAGCGGCTGACTACCCTTCCTGGCCCCTGGGCAGGTTTTGAACCTTCTTTCCTCTAACTCCTCTGACAGCACATGCTTCTTCGCAGTCTCTGTAGTCACCCGATTTCCCATTCTGTGGCAGAGTCACTGTATCTACAGGGATCCTCTCTTGTCCATTACCTTGGGATACAACAGGATAAAACCATGTCATCACGAGTTAGACTATCTTCTAATGGCCTTTTTGGTAATTCCAGCCATTTTTTGGGCATTGTATCTGAGGCTAACTGGTCTTAAACATTACTCAAGAGCTAACAGTGACGCTGATTACAAATACAAGCACAACTTTTAAAAGTGTGGCCTTTTTTGGACAAAATTCTTCTCTTCTTTGAGAACCACTGCTTTAGGATAAAGTTTTTAAGAAGTCAAAGATGCTTAGCCATAGCCACTCATTATCTCACCTCTCTGATTTTATTAAGTGCTTACTAAGGGCGAGGCACTATTATCAAATCCGAGTACAAAGCAGTGGACAGACAGATAAGAGCTGTATTCTCACCCAATGGCCAGACTGGTAACAAAACAAACACATCGTAGTTTCAGATGCCGGCGCATGCTGTGAAAACCAACAAAACAAAGCAGGAGAAAGAGCCTAAATGCAACTGAGGTAAAGGTGCCCTTTCAAAAAGGGAGGCAAGAAGTCAGAGGCAGCTGGGCTGGGAGCTGAGGCCCCGTGAAGAGCTGCAGAACGGTCTGCGCCGGGGAACAAGCAGCGAGTGCTGAGGCAGATGAGCTCGGCCTGTCCTAGCACTGGAGAGTGGGTCCGTTTCGCGGGGACATAGTAAGAATGGGGAAGTGTAGCAGCATATGAGGTTAGACACGCAGATAGAGTCAGATCACGTAGGGTCGGTCTTACATGTCTCCACGAGTGTAGGTTTTATTCTAGGCACAGGAGAAAGCCATGGAAAGATTTAAGTGAGAAAGGGATACATGTTTAAAAGATAACTGTGGGGGCGCCTGGGTGGCTCAGCTGGTTAAGCGTCTACCTTTGACTCAGGTCATGAACCCAGGAACCTGGGATCGAGTCCCTCGTGGGACTCCCTCTCAGGAGGGAGTCTGCTTCACCCTCTGCCCACCCACCCCCACCCGTGTGCACGTGCACACACACTCTCTCTCAAAAATAAAATCTTTAAGAGAAAAAAAAAGGTAACTGTAGCTTTGGTGTGACTGAAAGACTATAGACAAACAGACGCTTAATTAAAATAATGAGAAGAATTTAGGGCAATCTCACACAGCTGATTTGCTTTAACTTGAAAATAACGGATGTCGAAGAGAGTACAGGCCCTCATCCTCTGCCCAAGGAAAAAAAGGAAGGATCTCTTAGACTTCAAATTTCTATTCTGCTGAAGACCGGCCTTTAAAAAAATATTCAATTCAAATTAAGGAACAGTAGTTTTGAAACTATTCTACAGTTCTGACAGCCCTAAGAAAAGGATATATTTTTTCTTGCTCAACTCCCACCTTACCTCTTGCAGACCTAAAATCAGAAGGACAACCTCAGGGCTCCTGGGTGTCTTGGTCAGTTAAAGCATCAGACTCTTGATTCTGGTGCCGGTCATGATCTCAGGGTCCTGGGACTGAGCCCTTCGTCAGGCTCCTAGCTCAGTGGGGAGTCTACTTGCCTCCCTCTCCATCTGCCTCCCTCCCCCTCTCATTCTCTCTCGCTCTCAAGTAAATAAATCTTAAAAAAAAAGAAAAAAGAAAAAAAAGGACAGCCTCAACCATGATCCTCTAAAAGAGGCTGGATTATAGGAAAGTCTCCATTACTTGGAAATACTAAATTGTCATTTATTTCTCTCAGATCATTAATATAAACAACATTTAGCTCCTCTAAATTTGTACTTGGTAAGATGACTAATGATACAAATAAGATTATTTAAAAAAATCATTTAATGAGTAGAGTTTTTAAATCTCTAAGAAACACCTATTGACAAATGAACCTGTGATAAACTGACTGGAAATCAATCTCATTACTGTTGCTTCCTTCTAAGAATTTCTTCAGTATTCTAGTTCGAATCAGATACTTCAAAGCAACAAAATTCTATATTATCTTAAAGATTCTACAATTCATTCACATTTTTTATTTGTTTATGGAACGTCCTTTTTTTTTCAATTTGAACTAGTAAACATTATTAGCATAAGAAAATTTAATGCATAATCTTACCTCCACTTTAATTCTCTTCGGGGATAATTCATCTCTTTCTCCGCATTTTGACCTGAATAAAATGGGAGGGAGAAAAACTTGAGAAGGTAACAAATTTTATTCTAAAGATATCTCAATCTATAAACTTCCACCAAAACATCTACCCCTGAAACCCTTACACCAGAAATAAGACATTCATATTACAGACATAACAAAAAAGACTTTTCATCACTTCTAAATTAACATCAGGGAAATACGCAGACATAATTATATTATACATTTTAAAAGGCCACTACCTAAAAACTTCCCCACAAAGAAAGTACTCAATAAATATGTAATGATTATCAAATAATGCAAAAGGCAAAAAAAATCAAGCAGGATTATACTGCATGATATCTTCTTATGGATCAGCAGGAACACTTCAGGATAAAATGCCCAAAGTGGCCATTTAAGATGAATGCTTAAGGCTACGTAAGATTAAAACGCATCTATTGTCTATCTAGTGAAACTACAGATGCATTTTCCCTCTACCTAGAGATCCCTCTGCTGGGACTCTATCCCAAGGTACCTCCAGATACATGAGACTGCCGATTAAACTGAAATAAGCCATCAACTATAAGTTATCCTTCAAAGTAAAAGATGTTAAAATGTGAAAAGTACATTTCAGAATCAACAAAATACGTATGTCATTATTTATTATGATGCTATTTATAATGATAACAGGCTAGAAACAACTCAAGTATCCATCAGTAGGGTCTGGGTAAATAAATCATGGTGAGGCACCGGGGTGGCTCCGTCGGTTAAGTGTCTGCCTTTAGCTCAGGTCATGGTCCTGGGATCACGCAACTGAGCCCAGCATCAGGCTCCCTGCACAGCAGGGAGTCTGCTTCTCCTTCTGCCCCACCCCCTGCTCGTGCACGTGTGCGCGGTCTCTCTCTCTTTTGCAAATAAATAATCTTTAAAAAATAAATAATCTTTTAAAAAAATCATAGTACATACACACAATGCAATACCATGGTGCTGTAAAAAATAGTGAAGAAGATGTGTACATACTACCATAACGAGATTGCCGAGACATGTTAAAAACAAAATACAGAATAATACAGATACATACTACCTACTGTTTTTTGGTAAAAATGAGAAAATATATATCTTTGCAAGTGCATTAACACAGACTGGAAAGATGAAAAAGAAACTAATAAAACCATTTCTATTGAGAAGAGGAAGAAGTTAAAGGAGACCAGAATGGGAGTGTAACTTTTTATATTACATATTCACATAGTTTTGGCTTCTAAATTATGCAAGTGTGTTATATATTTAACTTAAAAAGTACATAAATGGAAATCCGACAAGAAACAGCTAAAAATTGTGGAAAGCAATTGCCTCCGGGGTGTGGTATCCAGAAGGGGGCAGGGAAACTGGTGAGTTTCAGTACAAGTCCCATGTACAGTAAATCTTAAATTATATACATGTATCACCTTGATTAAATTATGTAAATAAAGCAGTCAGAAAATTGTGTAATACAGTGAAAAAAATAAATCACTAAATCAGCTCTTAATTATCCAACCTAAAAAAATCTTGTAATTCTACAATATTGCTGCTATATATTCTTAGCCTGTTCACTTAGTCTGAATAACTTCACTTTGTGTCTATGTGGGCTCTTAAGGCATAGCAAAGGAAACTGCTATGAGTTTGGGGCCATAATGACAGTAAATGCCTCAACAGTGGCTTTTCAAATGTGAACAGGTATGAGAGTAATCTCGGACCCTTGTGAAAATTTGGATTCCGAGACTCCATCCCCCAAAACTGTAATTAATTAGGGCCAGGGAGGGTGCTCAGGATGTGGTTTTTCAACACACGTTCAACTACACTAATGCCAGGAGGTCATCTGCATCTCCTCAGAGAAGCAGCGGCACACCCAACTCATGGTGAACTAGAAATCCACGTGCGACAAGATGAAAAAGAAACTAATAAAATGACGTCTATTGAGGAAGTCAATAGATTTAGGATTTAAATGAAGACGAGATGAACAATAAGACGTGTTTATATTACATTTTAAAACCATCACTGCTTTTCAACATGTAAGTTTTTTACTTCAAATATTCCATATTCCACTTCTTATTTGCAACACACGTCCATATTCCATGTAATCTGGCATCTTCCAATGTTCCTTTAAGTACTGGCCAAATGGAGTCTCTTCATCCATTCAACTAATCTCATTGGATTGCAAACACCTTGCCAAAGGAACCACTTGGCTTCTACCAAGAGTTCAACAAGGTCACACGGTTAGTGGGTGTACAAGTAAGTCTATACATACTAACTAAATCTCATCATCACACTCAAAACCAAAGCATCTGTGTGAGAAGAATGTTAAAACCACTACCAGAACAATGCTATAGTGCTACAGAACTGTCTTTCAAAAGAAAAACAAAAGGAGAATTAAACAAAACAACAAAACCACATTAGCAATGTTTTGAAAAGTCACTTCACTCTTTAATTTTATAGAACCACAGTCACATTACACTTCTACTTTAAAAAAAAAAATGCTTATATTCTATCAATGGGTAATGGTGTAAGTTCTACCTCTACCAAGCAATGCAAAAATATATTGCCTGCCAATTAGTTAGACACTTACTTAGTGGTTCTGTAGGTATATTTGTAGGTGACTTCTCGAGAAATCTGCCTGGCCAGGGCAAACAGTTCATCTCTTCTCGTCAGCAGAGCGTTATCCTTCACACAGAGCTGAGCAGCCGCTTCGTTAACAGTGAGCTGTGTATCCAAACAAAGTTTAAAAATTATAAACATCTGTATTTCATCAATTAAAAAAAATGTTTCACTTAAGGGTAAAAAATGTCACATTGTATAATGAGATCATAGTTTATAAAAATCAGGATGGGTCTTTATTAGTCCTAAGGCCTAATTTCAGAAGAAAATCACATCACCTACCATCTCTCAGAACTCAAATTAATCACAATAGTCACACTGGTTTTATGTATTTATATGCTTAATTTTTGTTTAGGCATGGATTTAAAGAAAATAAGCAAAATAAAGTAAAAAAAAAATTCTGTATCTCATTTTTATGAAAAGCCAAGGATTTGACATGACTTGTTGATACTATTTCCCTAACTAAAAGTGAGTATATGCGGTCTGACGGGTATTTTTTTTTTTTCCCAGTGTGAACTGATATGAAACTTCTTAGGAAGGAATAAGAGTTAGATGATTTGAGTTAAATTATTTATCAAATTACTTAGTCAAAAAACAGAGTTATCACAGATTAGGGCCATAAAGGAAAATCAAGGTCTTGGAGTCACTAAATCTCTAAAATTAATCTAATTCCACTCTTTTATCTAAATGTTAAATAATGTCAATACAGAATTGCTACTTGACAAAACAACTGTATTGAAACTTAAAATAGCAATGTTATCCAAATTGAAAATCTGTTCATTGTTTAATTAGAAAAGGTTTTTTCACATAATTTTGCCAATTTAAATAGATGTAGGGAATTGCCAAGCAGTATATCAAACTTTTTCAAAAAGCAAGAAACATACTCGTTGCAGGCATGACTGACAGCAAACAGAGTAATGGCAGACAGACCTGAGGTGAGTCCTGCTGCATCACTTACCACCTGTGTGACTCTGGGCGTCTAAAAACTTCTCAGAGCCTCAGCGTTCTCAGAGGCAAAAATAGGATAATCAAAACGGGAACTACCTCAAGTGACTAACAAGAAAGAAAATGAGACACACCTGGCACAAGGTTGTTCTTAGTATTAGTTCTTGTTTTCCTTTCATAAAAAAACAGGCATTTACTTCCTTCCTACCCGGGCATCCCATTCTGCTCACAAAAATGTTCTATATTTAAAATTTTCAAAAATACAGAGAAGCAACAGAAGAAATTCAGCCTTCCATCTATTAATGCAATGCAGAATGGTGGCAATGCAGAGTGCAAACCTTCCATCTATTAATATTTTATTTTTTTTAAGATTTTATTTATTTATTCATGAGACACACAGAGAAATAGAGGCAGAGGGAGAAGCAGGCTCCCTGCAGAGTCAGGAGCCCAATGTGGGACTTGATCCCAAGACCCTAGGACCTAAAGCTGAACTGAAGACAGATGCTTGACCAACTGAGTCAGCCAGCACCCCCATCTATTAATATTTTAATGTATATTACTCTAATATCTGTGTACGTACAAACATGTATGTGAATATAGATTTGTAACTGCCTTTTTTCACTTATGTATGCTGTATTTTTTACTTCTATCATGTTGTTAGGCAGAAACTTGGCTAAGAAACCAGCATCTGGCATGGGCTGGTTACTCAACAAGTACCTGTTGGCTGATAAATGAGTAAATACTCTTTATGGTGTCATTTTTACTACCCAGACATACAATATTCCATTGTAGGGAAGAGCAATATATTATTTAAACCAACCTCACTCTGAACATGAAACTACCCCCATTTTTTCATGTATTACAAGGTAAGCTGAAAAGAATGTTCTTAACTGTGTATCTTTGCACACATATTCAATTATTTTCTTGGAATAAACTCCTAAGAATAAATTTGTCAGGTCACAGACTATACTAAATTTTACAAGATTTATAGATTTCCCCAAATTACTCTCCCGGAAAACTCCAAATCATAACACTACCAACAATTACATAAAGATCCATTATCCAGAATCAACCAATACTGGTTATTTTATTTTAAAAGCTTTACCAATTCGATGTATTTTCAGTATCATTTGGTTGTAATTTACATTCCTTTGACTATAAAACAACCTTTTTCTTATAAAGTATTTTAAAATTTGCTTACTCATGGCAGTTGCCTGTTTCTTCTACTGCACTATTTGGTTTCTTAGGAACTTCAGGAATTCTTTATGCATTAAGAGCATTAACTCTTCATATGCAGTGGCTTTTCTTTTTCATACTTAATCATTAGCCTTACGGTTTTTGTCTTGGGTGCCATGCATAGAAACTCCCTTCTCACCCTAAAACATGAATGGTTTCCTGTAATTTGGCATAACAGTTTTATTTTTTCCACTTAACTACTAAACGATTTAGAATGTGTTATGGTGTATGATATAAATCATGTATCTAACATCCCCCTCCCTGGATTTCTACCTATAATTTACATTGTCTAATTCTCAAATAATTTTGCTACAGACAAGGTTATAATACACCCAGGCCTCCTATTTTAAACTCTCAACTGAAAATGAGAGCATAATAGGAACAATGTGTTTTCAATCTTCTCCCCTTTTCCTAAAGAATCATCAACAGATCAATTTCTTCGCTAAGTGCTTTTTTAAAAAAATTTATCTATTTATTTTTATTAACATATAATGTATTATTAGCCCCAGGGGTACAGGTCTGTGAATCGTCAAGCTTACACACTTCACAGCACTCACCATAGCACATACCCTCCCCAATGTCCATAACCCAACCACCCTCTCCCTCCCCGGCCCCAACCCTCAGTTTGTTTTGTGAGATTAAGAGTCTCTTTTGGTTTGTCTCCCTCCAATCCCATCTTGTTTCCTTTATTCCTTTCCTACCCCTCAAACCCCCCACATTGCCTCTCAACTTCTTCCTATCAGGGAGATCATATGATAATTGTCTTTCTCTGACTGACTTCTCTCGCTAGCGTTTAAGTGCTTCCGAAAGGCACAATGTAACTGGAGCTAAAAGTGAAATATAAAGAATGATTTCCTAAATAAATTAACTTCAATTTTGGAAAAGCACTAGCTTCAATGACCTTGAAGACCTTCTTAAACCCCTTTTTAGGTAGCCCTTTCTTTCTTGCATTCGTACCCTAAATTAGTAGGGAGAGCTTCAGATTGTTAGTAAGGTGTTTTAACTGACATTTCAGAGGTACCACCTTATGCACAACCACAGAAAATAACCTTTCAACATCAACTGAAATAGCGTTCTAGTATTCCATCATCCTACCAGAAACCAAAAACACAAACCTAATATATTCTCTGTTACTGAATTCAGGCTTCGAAAGATCAAAAAAGTTGACCTGAATTCAGGCTTCGAAAGATCAAAAAAGTTGACTGAGCTCTCCAAGACCTTAGGGAAACTTCTGGTATTAAAACTGAGACTGTAGAAATAACTATCGCTCACCCCAAGTTGTAGTAAGGAGCTGATTCATCCGGGATCCCCTCAAAAATTGCATTTTCTGTTGGTGTTTTCTGTATTTCATGCTCCTAATTGTTAATAATTAAATCAGTAAATATTATGATGTATTTTAAAAAATTATATAAATACTCTAATATGTTAGTCACTGCCATACCATACTAGCTTTTTTAAAAATTCCAAGTTTCCAGGGGCACCTGGCTGGCTCAGTTGGCAGAGCGTGTGACTCTTGATCCCAGGGTCCTGAGTTTGAGCCCCACACAGGATGTGGAAGCCCACTTAAAATTATTTAAAAAAAAAAAAAGAAGAAGAAGAAGAAGAAGAAGTAAAAATTCTAAGTCTCTAGTTTTTTTAAGTAGGCATCACACCCAGTGCGGAGCTCAAGGTGGGGCTAAACTCAGGACCCTGAGACCAAGACCTGAGCTGAGATCAAGAGGCAGAGATATTTAATCAACTGAGACACCCAAACACCCTACGTTTCTAGTTTTGTTAAAAATATAAAACAAATATTCTCTCTAATTGGTTTACTTCCTCCAATTCCTCTTTTTTGTGACTAAAAATGTCAACAGTCCATTCATATTTTTATGTTAACTATTCCTTAAAGTTAGCTTTCTATCATTTGTAACTAGACCTAAAGTTTTCTTTTCTGGTAGTTAAAATTATAATCTTTAACAATCGAATGACTGTGACTTTCCATTTTGTATTGTTAGCATAAAAATACCATGAGAATGCTGTGTGACAGGGTGGCTCAAAAGGCAATCAAGGCTTTCATTTCCAGCACAGGGAGGGAATGACTGGCCTCCTCACAGAAAACAACTAAGAATATTGGATAAAAATAGGAGGAAAAATATCTTAAATGCCATCACTAAGCCAGCAAGACAACAGCAAGGACTAGTAAGGATAAAATGAATGAAGACAAAGTAAGTTGAGGACAGCTGCTAGACCAGATGACCCTGAGCTTCAGCTCACAACCTCACAGGTCTGGTTAGTGTGGGAAGAGAACAGGAGGAAAAACCCAGGAACCACCAAAGGTGAGGGAGTCTGAGACCCCTCCCTCCACAAGCTGAAATCCCAAATCACCACACCCCCACTGTAAGCCTGAAATAGAAATACACCTGTACTCCCAGGAGAACACAAGGGAAATTACCTGTCTTGAACCCTGCTACTGAGTTGGGGAAAACAGAAGATACTCCCTCGAGATTTCATAAACCACCCCCCCCAAATTAGCCCACACATGACTTTCAGCCCTAATTTACACTATATGGGCTGAGAATATTTTTCACAGGGTTCCAGAGTGGTACTGTGCAGAAAACAGGTGACTGGTAGAAGAAAAAGCAAACAACCTCTAGAAGAATCCATTTTCTTCCTAGGCCTCAAAACATTCCCACAGTTCTAAGAAATATGAATTATAGACAGAAATCATAAAATATCCAAAGAAATAGGCATCAAAAGTAAAAACCAGCAGAAATGACAGAATAAGACCCTCAAAAACTTTACAAAAGTAAGAGATGAAAATGTGACTAAAGAATAATACAGTAAAAAAGATCAAGAAAAACTAAGAAAACAGAAGGAGAGAAAAAATTGGGGTAGAGGCAAACAGAAGACTTCAAAAGCAAACAATAGATAACACCAATTATAAA